ATTACAATAAACACATAGTTGGGCTTATTCATTAACCACTTGCCCTCCAGAGGATTTACCCACCTTCCTGACAAGGCCATTTTTTGCGTTACAGCGCTGCATTAATTTAACTGGCAATTGCGTGGTCATGCAACGCTGCACCCAAATTAAATTTACGTCCTTTTTTTCCCATTAATTGAGCTTTCTTTTGGTGATATTTGATCACCTGTGCATTTTTATTTTTGTGTTATAAAAAAAAAAGACAGACAATTTTGAGAAAAAAACAATATTTTTGACTTTTTGCTTTTAACCTTTTCACACGGGCGCCTTCCAGCCCTTTAAGGGGTTTCAGATGCCGGGAGGTGGGGCAGGGTTTTAGGGTCATGTGACCGCAATGATTCACGGTGGTCACATGATCGAAAAAGGTCCCGTTTGCAAGGGGATATTGGGAACTTTCCGTGAGACACCAACATATGTGCTGGGAGCGCTCCGGGTGCGCACTCTCAGCACATATGTGTTTTTAAGTGAAATGCAACTATGTGGCCGCTTGGCATCAAGGCCCAGCCATAGAGAGACCGCATATTTGCATACAGTCGGCATCAAGGGGTTAAAAATGTCCAGTAAAACATTTTTCAAAATCAAATTTCATCATAAATTTAGGTCAAAATGTATTCTACTACATATTTTTGCTAAGAAAAATCCCAATACGTGCAAATTAATTTGATTTACGTGAAAGTTATAGAGTTTACAAATGACGGTATAGATACTGGAATTTTTATTTTATTTTTTATTTTTACTAGTAATAGCAGTGATCAGTAATTTATAGTGGGACTGCGGGACTTCGGCGGGCATTCTGACACTGGGGGGAACTGACTTGGTGTCACTGACATCCCCAGTGACACCAATGCAGTGATCAGTGCTAAAAAAAAAGCACTGACACTGTACTAATGGCACTGGGCAGGAAGTGGTTAACATGAGGGGCGATCAAAGGGTTAACTGTCTGCTATTTCACAGTAAGCTCTGTGTGTGTGCTTCACTGTAATCACACTGCTTTAGATGGCTGTGCTGTGCAGAGCCATCTAAAGCAGTGTGCATGAGCTGACAGGGAGGAGAACTGTATTGTTTACATACAGTTCTCTCCATCGGAGAGTCGGTCGGGACCCAGTGATTGATAGCTGTGGCCAGGATCGGCGGCACGGGTGGGGCACGTGTACCTCATGCATGCCCCCTACCCAGAAATGCAAAATCATGTACATATACGTGATTTTGAGCACCCGTGTCTCCCTGTAGCAGTATATCTGCTATAGGGTGGTCAGGAAGCAATTAAAGCTGTACTACATATGTAAAATATGCAGAAAACTATTTCAACCAATGAGATTTCAAATTAGAGCAGTCACATTAATAAAATATCAATGTTGATGATTCTTATGGATTAATTAAGGATTTGGTCCACCTAACTGAGAAATCCCAGTTGAATAACTTTATTTTACGTTCATTTTCTTGCTCTGTAAATTGATACATGTGCTGAAGGGTAACCTCACTTTTGTTAAAAAAATTGATATAACAGATTTAGAAATGTTATCTGACTGTGATTGACTGACTGCTTTGCAAAACAAACATGGGATTGGTCATGTGACTATAGTTGACACACCTAGCCATTCAGCAGTCAGAAGAAAGGAAGTAACTGTAAGAGGTAAGAAATGATTGGGCTTCATGGGCTGATTTACTAAATGCAAAAAGGCTGTTCACTTTGCAAAGGAATTTTCTCTAGCTTACTGATATATTAAAAACTCACTTTGCTACGAATGACGAACGCCCAGTTGTGTGAAAGAGAAAAACAGTATTTGTGCTTGCAAATTAATTATTAAAAGTCAGCAGAACTTCGCATCATTCACTAAATTAAGGCAAAGTGAAATTTCCTTGCCAAGTAAACAGCCAATTTGACTTTAGTAAATCAACCCCATGTGTCAGAAACAGCAGCAGGTGGGAGTCTGCAATGAAGTTTTCTAAAATTCTTGCAACTAATTAGGATAACGTTCTTTTTCTTCTAATCCAAAGTGGAGTACCTCTTAAAGTATGACTTGCTATTTTTCCTGTGAATGTGATACAAAAATGTTATGCAATTTGAATTGATAATCCAAAGATAATTACAAAACCATCTAAATTTAATTTGACTTTAGAATAATTTAAATGAATTTTGTAAATACTTTGAAGCTTGATGAAATGAATACAACCACTCAAGCTTCAAAATAATAACTGCATAAAATAAAAAGACAAAGTTATCTAAGTTAATTAACACAAAGTCAAATGTAAAAAGACATAAGAGAAGGTTTAACAATGACTTGTCACAGAGATAAAACAAATAAGTCATTATTTGGTTATCTTGTTAGCGCTATTGAAGCAGCATGATCAAGGTCAACATAACATTGGCTGTGACCGTAACTGTGCTGAGCATTGGAAAGAAATGCAAAATCCTACAACTGAAAAACACAAAGAAAACTACAGATAACACAGGTAATTATGCAATGGTCTAAAGATGGGTCAGGATATTGTCTGAAAGGTCATAGGTTATTTTAAAAAAAAATCAAACACTTGTTCTTGATGCTTTGTATTTTCTAATTGGCAAAGCAAATTAAAATCACATTGCATTTATAAATCAAAGCTATAATTCAATTTATCTGGTATGCAGTATAACAAACAAACAAACACTGGGACTAGGCATGGTCATTCAGGGAGATACTATAATACAAATTTTTAAATTATTTGTAATTTTTTTTGTATAGATGTATAGAGAACTGTAAATCTAAAGGGAAAACTATAATATATGTTGTATTTTTTGGTGAATTCACATTCTAAGCTAATATAAGTATTTTTTTTTCAAAAGTATTCTTCACTGAAGATTTTACAAAGGTACAAGAAAAGTGGTTGTACAAAATTTGATCATGCCACCAGAATCAAAATTCCAGGTTTAGATTATAAAACAAGTATGGTACATGTAGAGTAGAGTGCATGGTGGGGGGGGGGGGGTTGGAAGTTGGAAGCAAAAGAGAGGGAGGTAGAGAGTAGAGGGGGGAGGGAAGAAGGGAGAGAGAGAGAGAGAAAGAGAGAGAAAGCGAGAGAAAAAAGAGAGAGGGAAGAGAGAAAGAAAAGAGAGAAGGAGAAAGAGAGGGAGAGGGAAGAGAGAAAATGAGAAGAGAGAGAGAGGAAAGAGAGAGGGAGAAGAGAGAGAGGGATGAAAGAGAGGGAGAAAGAAAGGGTAGAAAGAGAGAAGGAAGCAGGTGCCACCTGGAAACACAAAATGGTGTCTTTCTTCTGAGTTGAGAGCAAGGTTGGGAGAGAGAAAAGAGGGGAGAAAAAGGAAGAAAGGAACATGGTGAGAGAGAGCCAGGAGGAAAGAGAGGGAGGGAGAGAGGAGGGGAGGACAGAGAGGGAGGGAGAGATTGTTGTGCAGAGAGAGGAAAGAAAGAGAATGCAGAGTGTCCCTGTACCTACCTGCCCAATTGATATTGAACCGGCCTGCCTGACGGACGCTTGCTTGTGTATGTACATGTTATCTGTGGGTGGTTGGTTTGGTTTGTTTGCACTGTATTATGTTTGTTAGTATTGCACTGCGTTTTATGTTTGTATTGTTAGTGTTAATAAAATTATATTGTTTATCCCATATCTGAAGTCTGCGTTTACCCTGCTGTCAGGTCACACATCTCTGGTCATACCTGGAGCCCTGACATTACACCAAGGCCAATCCTGACCAGAAGTGGTACTGCACAGGGAAGCCATCTTGGTTTGTTGATGGGAAAGGATGGATCTGGATGAGGTTGAGTGTATTTATCTCTGCTAGTGTTTGATGACAGGGAGTATGCTTATCAAAACTCTGAAGGAGTATCCCCGGGATGAACTGCTAGAATGTATACGGCTCGCTCATGTTCTAGTAGATCAGGGCACAGAGTTCTCTTGAGGTGCAGCCTCTTGATTGAGGTTTGTGCAGAGTTGGTTTCATCTGGTTCCCCGAATGCAGGGATGAATTTTTTGCCACATTTAGTGCAGACCAGGTAGAGTCCCTTGGTGTGGTTATTAGAGGATGATGTGGGTTACTTTCTGAGAGCGTTATTCCACATGTTCACTCCACAGACAATAAGAGATTGTATAACGCAGTGCAGTCATTGACCAGACAGGCTTTGTGTAAGCTCAGCTTTGTTCAACCCCTACTGCAGACATGGATCAGACTTTGTTGCACCCAGCCTCAGTCAGCTTACAAAAACCCAGTCCTGCTTCTAACTCTTCTCCTGTATTCCCAACAGCTCCTCAGTTACCAGCCAGTATACTTGGCTATCTACCGCATTAGCATGTCAGTACCCTGTTCCCACTCGCGCTGCACCTATCCTGCCTTTAACCCTGTAAAAAAAGCCCTCTGTAGCAACTGCTCCCTCTCCTGTTCCATCCTCCAGTTCTTCTCTGTCTCCAGCTGCTCCATTCGTTTGCAGACCTGCGTTTACTTGCAGTGCTCCAGTTAGTTTTTAAAACCAGAAAAAGCGAAAATTCTTTCCAACCAATACCATCCTGCCAGTATCCAAACTGGTTGAACCTGCCTTCCATGGTTCAGCCTGAAGCCTCTACTCAGCCTGAAGCCTCTACTCGGCTGAATCCTTCTTACCTCGGCCCCTGATGCCTCTACTCGGCCTGATGCCTGACTACTCGGCCTGAAGCCTCTACTCAGCCTGAAGCCTCTACTCAGCAGACGCCGGCATTCAGCCTGATGCCTCTACCCAGCATGATGAACTGATCCAGCACTGATGATCCATATTTTAGGCCAGTTGACTCGATGCCCGCTGTTGATCCAGATGATACCCCGTGGTACCTGATCCGGTGCTCGCTGTCGTGCCAATTGACTCAGAGCCGCTGTCGTACTCCTGGTGACTCTGGTGCCCAGCTGCCTTGCCAGATGACGCGGCTGTGCCGCTGGCGAGCCAAATGACCTGATGCCTGGTGACTCCAGTGCCCGCCGTCTCCTACCTGGTGACCCGATGCCCGCTGTCGAGCCAGACGATCCAAATGCCTGGTGGACCCGGTGCCCCCACTGCCTTGCCAGATGACGCGGTGCCCGCTGGCAGCCAATAATGACCTGATGCCTGGTGACCCCAGTGCCCGCTGTCGAGCCAGACAATCCGGGTACCTGATGACCCGGGTGCCCACTGTCGTGCCTGTTGATTCGGAGCCCACTGCCTTGCCAGATGACGCGGTGCCCGCTGTTGAGCCAAATGACCTGATGCCTGGTGAACCGATGCCCGCTGTCCAGTCAGACGATTCAATGTCTGACCCAGTGCCCCGCGGTCATACCAGTTGACTCGGAGCCCACTGCCTTGCCAGATTGATGCGGTGCCCGCGGTGTCGAGCCAAATATGACCTGATGTCCGGGTGACCCGATGCCCGCTGTCCAGCCAGACGATACAATGTCTGACCCAGTGCCAGCGGTCATGCCAGTTGACTCGGAGCCCACTGTCGTGCCAGATGACTCGGCGCCCGCGCTCTGCCTGAGGGCCCGAGACCTGTCGCTCCACCTGGGGGTCCGGCGCCTGCCGCTCCGCCTGAGGGCCCCGAGACCTGTCGCACTCCGCCTGGGGGCCCGAGGACCTGTCGCTCCACCTGGGGGTTCCGGGCCCGTCCGCTCCGCCTGAGGGCCCGAGACCTGTCGCTCCACCTGGGGGGTCCGGCGCCCTGCCGCTCCGCCTGATGGGCCCCGAGACCTGTCGCTCCATCTGGGGGTCCGGTGCCCGCCGCTCCGCCTGGGGGCCCGAGACCTGTCGCTCCGCCTGGGGGCCCGAGACCTGTCGCTCCGCCTGGGGGCCCGAGACCTGTCGCTCCACCTGGGGCTTCCGGCGGCCCGCCGCTCCGCCTGAGGGCCCGAGACCTGTCGCTCCACCTGGGGGTCCGGCGCGCCGCCGCTCCGCCTGAGGGCCCGAGACCTGTCGCTCCACCTGGGGGTCCGGCGCCCGCCGCTCCGCCTGAGGGCCCGAGACCTGTCGCTCCATTCTGGGGGTCCGGCGCCCGCCGCTCCGCCTGGGGGGCCCGAGACCTGTCGCTCCGCCTGAAGGGCCCGAGACCTGTCGTCCATCTGGGGGTCCGGCGCCCGCCGCTCCGCCGAGGGCCCGAGACCTGTCGCTCCGCCTGCCTGGGGGCCCGAGAACCCTGTCGCTCCGCCTGGGGGGGGCCCGAGACCTGTCGCTCCACCTGGGGGTCCGGCGCCCGCGCTCCGCCTGAGGGCCCGAGACCTGTCGCTCCGCCTGGGGGCCCGGAGGACCTGTCGCTCCACCTGGGGGTCCGGCGCCCGGCCCGCTCGCTGAGGGGCCCGAGACCGTCGCTCACACCTGGGAGTCCGGCGCCCGCCGCTCTGCCTGACGGGGCCCCGAGAGACCTGTCCTCCACCTGGGGGTCCGGCGCCCCGCCGCTCATGGAGGGCCGAGCCACTGTTCGCCACCACCTGGGGGTGGCGCCCGCCGATCCGCCTGGGGGCCCGAGACCTTGTCGCTCTGCCTGGAGGCGCCCGAGAGACCCTGTCCGCTCCAATCTGGGAGGTCCGGCGCCCGTCGCTCCACTTGAGGGCCCGAGACCTGTCGCTCCCCTCCTGGGGGCCGAGAAACCTGTCGCTCCGCCTGAAGGGCCCGAGAACCTGTCGCTCCGCCTGGTGGCCCGAGGACCTGTACCTCCGCCTGGGGGCCCGATGACCTGTCGCTCCACCTGGGGGCCTGGGCCCGCCGCTCCGCCTGGAGGGCTGAGGGCCGAGACCTGCGCTGTCGCGATGGGGGCCCGCAGACCTGTCGGGGGCCCGGTTGCCGGTCGCCCGCCGCTCCGCCTGAGGGCCCGAGGACTTGTCGCTCCACCTGCGACCGCCGCTCCTGCCTGGGGCCCGATGACCTGTCGCCCACCTGGGGGTCCGGCGCCCGCTGCTCCGCCTGAGGGCCGAGCCCTTGTCGCACCCACCTGGGGCCTGATGCCTGTCGCCAACGCCTGGGGGCCCGATGCCTGTCGCCCCACCTCGGGGGCCCGATGCCTGTCGCTCCCGCCCGGGGGGCCGATGCCTGCTGTCTGCCCCTCCTGGGGGGCCGCCCGGGTGGCCTGCCTGTCGACGCTCCTGGGGGGCCGGCGGCCCGTGCTCCGCCTGGGGGCCGATGCGGTCGCCCCACCGGGGGGCCCGCTGCTGCTGCGTCGCTGGTAAATCGATGTGCCCGGCATGCCGGAGCCCCACCCGGGGGCCCGATGCCTGCTGCCTCGCCCGGGTCCAGCCCGATGTGCCTGCTGGCCCGGAGCCGGGGGCCCGGTGCCACTGCTGCTCTGCCGGGGGGCTCCGGTGCTGCTGCTCCGCCCGATGGGCACGGTGCCTTGCTGCCCGGCCCGGTGACCCGCTGCTGCCTGCTGGCTTCGCCTGGTAATCCGATGTGCCTCTGCCCGGAGTCCTGCCCGATGTGCCTCTGCCGGAAGTCCTGCCCGATGTGCCTCTGCCAGGAGTCCAGCCCGATGTGCCTCTGCCGGAGTCATGCCCGATTGTGCCTCTGCCCGGATGGTCCTGGGCCCGATGTGCCTCTGCCCGGAGTCCAGCCCGATGTGCCTCTGCCGGAGTCTGCCCGGATAAGTGCCCAGTCCCCGATGTGCCTCTGCCCGGAGTCCAGCCCGATGTGCCTTCTGCCCGGAGTCCAAGCCCGATGGTGCCTCTGCGCCGGAGTCCAGCCCGATGTGCCTTCTGCCCGGAGTCCAGCCCGATGTGCCTCTGCCCGGAGTCCAGCCCGATGTGCCTCTGCCCCGGAGTCCTGCCCGATTTTTTGTGCCTCTTGCCCGGTGTGCCTCTGCCCGGAGTCCAGCCCGGTGTGCCTCTGCCCGATGTGCTTCTGCCCGGAGTCCAGCCCAATGTGCCTCTGCCCGGTGTCCAGCCCGATGTGCCTCTGCCTGGTGTACCGCTGCCCGGAGTCCTGCCAGGTGTGCCAGTCTCTTTGATATCCCGCCAGTTACCAGACCCGGGCGGTGGAACATTTTTCCGAGCTAGGACTGTTTGGAGCGTCCTGAGGCCGCTCCGTTGAGGGGGGGGGGGTACTGTCAGGGAATGGACTGGCCAGCAATGGTGGGACTCACCTGCCTTTTGATCTGCGAGTATTACCAGGGCTGGCCAGCGGGTGCTCCCAGCAATCAGAGAGTGACTCAACTTTGCAGCCAGCTAACACCCTGGAACTGATTATGCTGGGGTATTTAAGGGATGGGCCAGACCCACAGACTCTGCCTTGGTGTGTGTTTGTCCTGGGCCCTGCTGTATCTGTCCTGCATCCTGTTTCTGTTCCTTTGCTGACCCCTCTGTACTACGCTGCTTGCTACCTGTCCTGATCCCTGGCTTGTGACCCTGACCATCCCTCTCTGCCTGACCCTCTGTACTACGCTGCTTGCTACCTGTTCTGATCCCTGGCTTGTCACCCTGACCATCCCTCTGCTTGACCCTCTGTACTACGCTGCTTGCTACCTGCTGAACCTGGCCTGTGACCGCGACCATTCTCCGCTTGCTCCCCTGTACCTACCTGCCCAATTGATATTGACCCGGCCTGCCTGACGACGCTTGCTTGTATGTACTGTTATCTGTGGGTGGTTGGTTTGGTTTGTTTGCACTGTATTATGTTTAGTATTGCACTGCGTTTATGTTTGTATTGTTAGTGTTAATAAATTATATTGTTTATCCCATATCTGAAGTCTGCGTTTCCCTGCGTCAGTCACACATCTCTGGTCATACCTGGGATCCCTGACACAGAGAGAGGGGAGAGAGAGAAAGAAAAGGACAAAGGGAGAGAGAGGGGTAAAAGTGAGAGAGGGGGAGAGTGGAGGGTAGAGAGGTGAAGAGCTAAAGAGACAGAGAGGAGGGGAGTATAAAGAGATGTTAGAGGAGAGGGGAAGAGAGAGGGACAGAGAGTAACGGGTAGGAGAGTGAGAGGGTTGATAGAGTGGGGGGAGAAAGAGAAGAGATGCCAGGTGAGAGAAGAGGAATGGAGACAGAAAGAGAAGTAGAATAGAAAGGGAGATAGTTGAGAGAGTGGGGAAGAGGTTGGGGGAGAGAAAAGTAAAGAGAGAGACAAGGAGGAAATAGTGTGGTAGTGGGAGGAGAGGACTGGAGAGTTTGAGGGGGAGAGCAAGTAGGGTTAGTGGGGGAATTTGAGGCAATGTCAGAACGGAGAGATGGCCACCAGAATAACCGAGAAACAACCCAGGACAATTGGTTCCTACCAGGATGACCGGCAGTCTTGGAATTATGGTAGGTACGTAGCAAGCCCTCAGGTACGAAACATCTTCCAGCCGGTCTCTCCGGGGGAGCGTTAGTTTGAGCCGCCAAAATCTGCTCCCCAGGGGGAGAAGTCAGGTTGGTACGAATGGCAGCCAGGATCTGGTTTGGAGGAATGACCGAGGTCAGCTCAGTGTCCTTCCTGGACAGCTCAGAGTATTGCCGCGACAAGGCTTCAGCCCTGACATTCTTGGAGCCAGGCAAATAAGAGACCACATAGTTAAAACGCGACAAGAACAGAGCCCATCTGGCCTGACGGGACGTCAACCTCTTAGCCTCCGAGAGATATGTCAGGTTCTTGTGGTCAGTGAGAATTAGAACCAGAACCACAGAACACTCAAGCAGGTGCCTCCATTCCTTGAGAGCCAGACTAATGGCCAACAACTCCCTGTCTCCGATCTGGTAGTTGCACTCTGTGGATGAAAGCTTCTTGGAGTAGAACCCACAAGGAAGTAGGGGTCCCTCTGGTGACCGACGCTGAGACAAGAGGGCACCTACTCCCGTCTCAGAAGCATCAACCTCGAGGACAAAAGGCAACCCAGGATTGGGATGAGACAGAATCGGGGCCGAAGCAAAGGTGGATTTCAGAGCCTCGAAAGCTGAGATGGCCTCGGGTGGCCACTCGTGAGGGTTACTGCCCTTCTTGGTCAGATCTGAGAGCGGTTTGGACAGCGTGGAGAAGTTCCTGATAAACGTCCAATAATAGTTGGCGAATCCCAAAAAGCGCTGGATGAACCGAAGACCACTGGGACGAGGCCACTGCAGAACCGCCGAAACCTTCTCAGGGTTCATGGAAAAACCCACGGTGGAATTGATGTAGCCCAAAAAGGCAACCTAGGATCGGTGAAATTCACACTTCTCGAGCTTACAGAAAAGCTTGTTCTCACGTAACCGTTGCAGCACCCGCTTAACATCCTGGATATGAGACTCCATAGATGCAGAGTAAACCAGTATGTCGTCCAAGTAAACCACCACGCACTGCTGCAACAAGTCACACAAGACATCATTAATAAACACCTGAAAGACCACGAGTGCGTTACACAACCCGAAGGGCATAACCAGGTATTTATAGTGACCGGTTCTGGTGTTGAACGCGGTCTTCCACTCGTCGCCCTCCTTGATCCGTACGAGGTTGTAGGCAGCCCTAAGGTCGAGTTTAGTAAAGACCGTTGCTCCCTTGAGGCGGTCAAACAACTCGGTAATCAATGGAATGGAATAGGATAAGCATTTTTAATCATGATTCGATTGAGGCCCCTAAAATCAATGCAGGGTCTCAACTCACCGCCCTTCTTTTTCACGAAAAAACCCCAAGCTCCTGCTGGAGAAGAAGACTTGCGAATGTGCCCCCGGGAAAGCGCATCCGCAACGTACTCCTCCATGGCCTGATTCTCTGCCACCGAAAGAGGATACACCCTGCCACGCGGAGGAGTGGCACCTGTTTGTAAGGTTATGGCGCAATCGTATGGACGATGAGGAGGCAGAGCACCCGGCGCGCACCTTGTCAAACACGTCCAGATACTCCCCATATTCAGTAGGCAGCACAGAGTCCGAGGAGGTGCACAACACCTTAACCGGACCCCTCTTACGAGGTCTCCCCACTTTTTTAGGGCCAAGCTTAAGGGGAAACTTTGGATGAAAAAATTCCACCAGATGGGGAGCAGAAACATAAGTAGAAGGAATCCAACACCTCTCCTCAGGACCATATCCCTTCCAGTCAATAGGATACAAAAGCTTCCCTCTGATGAACTTAGAATCCAAGATTTGCTTGACTTCATACTGATCTGAGGTACTCACTATTGGGGAAGAAAGATGATGAGGACGGGAAAATCTGCTGTTGATATACGGTCTCAGAAGAGAAACATGGAAAACATTAGGGATTCTCAGATGAGAAGGGAGGCGAAGTTCAAAAGCAACAGGATTGACCTGGCAAAGTATGTTAAAAGGACCATGAACCGAGGAGCAAATTTCATAGAGGGTACTTGTAGACGGATACTCTTGGTAGAGAGCCAAACCCTGTCACCCGGGAAAAACTTGGGACTCACCCGGTGATGACATACCGCAGCTACTTTGTACTTGGAAGCTGACAGATGTAAGTTCTTGGAAACTTTTGCCTCAGAAGAAATAAGAGAACATACAACAGGAAACTGGGCTGGAGCAGACCCCAATAACCCGGATGAAGGGTCTGGTGAGAAGACTGCCAGGGAGGGCACAGTAGGGTGTATGGGGGCAGGACAGGAGACAGAATGCACTGTACTACTAATGTGGAAAAAACGTCTGGCTCCAAAGCAGCTGAAGGGAGTTTTGGGGTCTCAGCATGCAGGGTACATAAACTCAGATGGTATAGAGGTCACAGATGTTGGAACCTCCACCCATCCAAAAGGTTGCGATATAGGAGCTCTGAGCTGCAACATATGTAAAGGGACCAAAGATTTGGGCATCAAAGAGGGCAAGGAACTAGAGGCGGACAGCACCGGAAGGGGGCCTATAATAGGAGTAGGCAGGGGAGCAGCCTTACTACACAAAACATCTTGTAAGGTCTGGCAATGTTGAGGGAGCATCGGAGAGGGGGTGGCCACAGCCATGGGTACAGTGCGAGGTGGGCGGACAGCACAAGACCTAATTAGGCCTTAGGATCACCAGAGAAGTGAGGCGGTGGAGGCAGCTGGAGTTTCAAAGGACCATGTTCCACTGGGGGAACAGCGGAAGGTGGAACAGCAGGAACTGGAGCAGAGGGTGAGGAAGTGGACGCAACCTGTAGCTGATCCAACCGGGAGGAGAGTTCCTGCAGACAGTGCATGATTTGTTCTTGGAAGGCCTGTTGGACCTCGACTCAGCACCAAAGTCTGAAGTTGTTCCAGGACATGCTGCGGTGTCTCCAAAGCGCTCATGGCCTGAGCAACAACAACAAACGTTGTTCAGGCAATGTGGCCCAATGTGAGCACATCTTAAATAGACAGGCAGACAAGGAGGTGGGACAGGGAGGTGATGGAAGGGAAGGACAAAAAACCAAGGGAATAGCAGGCGATGCCCACAGGTGAGCACAGACAAACACACATGTGAAGGAATCTGGAGCAGCATGGAGGTAAGAGTAACACACAAGAGGCTGCAAGCTAACTTGTGACAGTCCCTTTAGGTCAAAAGCGGTTTTAGACCAGCTAGAAAACATTGATAGTGAATTAGAATCACTTGCAGAATTGAG